TCAGTCTATTTCTCTAGACGTAGCCTATTCTTTAACATTTTCTGTTTCTAGAAATTTTCCTAGAGAAATGAAGGTTTAGATTAAGGTAACTGGATAACTGTCTTTGGCATTTGAACTTTATATAGGTAGAAGGGCCTTCTTTATCTGATTCTTGCAAAATTATTACGCAAAGCAAACTTCAAACCATCGGTGTCAGTGTGAGCTTAGTGTCATTATTTGTATATTTTTAAGGTTATCTTATTTACTTATTTTTTCTTATATAAATTCCAAGTATAATAAGGTACTGAATAATGCTTATGTGGCCATGATATATAATATTATTTTTGAAATTTAATTTCTAACTTGAGATTTTTTATGGCATGCTGTTAAGGTTCTCTTTTATAAATATGTCACAAAGTGAGTGACAAGTTGCAGTGAGCACTTCTAGTTTTTCCTCTGCATAAAACATTTATGCCACTGTAATCATGTGATTTTAGTTTCTTTCCCTTTTTTAAAAATAGTCCTGTATACTGATCTCAGACCCAATATAAATAAGTGTTGATATTAATTTTCTTTTTTTTTTTTTTTTTTTTTGCAGTACCAACCAGGGATCAAACTCAGGACACTGTGCTTGCCAGGCAGATGCTTATGCCACTATATGCCACTGTGAGCTATCTCCCTGGCCCCAATATTATTTTTCTTTTTCTTTTTCTTTTTCTTTTTTTTTTTTTGCAGAACCGGGGATTGAACTCAGGTCCTTGTGCTTGCCAGGCAAGCGCTTATTCCACTGAGCCATCTCCCCGGCCCCAATATTATTTTTCTTTTTCTTTTTTTTTTTTTTTTTTTGCAGAACCGGGGATTGAACTCAGGTCCTTGTGCTTGCCAGGCAAGCGCTTATTCCACTGAGCCATCTCCCCAGCCCCAATATTATTTTTCTTAACAAGAGTTGAAAGGTACAGGGAATTTTCACCCTGGACTGAGTTGGAGAAGAAGTGGGAGGTGGTCTTGGGAACATGGAGTTGAACAAAGGGAGGCTGAGGCTTTTATGGCCTTAGTGAGGACATGCTAGAATAGTCCTCCTCCTCTTTTGCTCTCCCTACCTCCAGGCTTCTCTCTCTGCACAGAAATGAAGGCATGCAAGCCCTCATGCCCTCCGCAGGTGCCACAGTGCTGCGGGTGAAGCATTCAGGGGCTTTGGAAAGGGAGAGAGTGACCTTGAGTTTTGATAGGTTCCCAGGCAGTAGGAGGAAGCAGAGGGGACCTTCGTGGCAGATCTGGGCCAATCCTTGAGCCTGTCTGTGTGTTTCCGCTGCAGGTCTTGGATTCTTCATCTGTAGCAACAGTTAATTGATTGGGTGATCTTCAAGTTTCCCTTCAGTTGTCACTGTTCTCTGGTTCTGTGGGCTACGTTCTGTAGGGGACAGGGTTGCTGAGGGTGGGAACGTGGATACTCTTGACCTTAAGCATTGAAAGTCCAAGTCTGGCCACAGCAGCAGGTCCATCTCTTCTTTGGTTCTGGAGAGTGTCCCATGAGTGCGACGAGCTGACCTCTGAGGGGATTTCTTAAGGCAATCAGTGATGAATGACTCAGTTCTCTAAAGCAATTGTGATGTTCCTAAGAATTACACAGGTACTTTTCTGATTTGCTTTCCACAGTTCAGGGCGAAGTGTGGGGCCCAGGTTCTTCACTGCCCTCCTTGTCTACTCCGGAGCAGTTTGTCAACACTGTTACTTTGGCTCGGAAGGAAGCCATTGAGCTTCTTATGCCAGAAAGGGCCACATCATCACCCGAGCGTACCACTTCCCCTCCTGACTTCTGTTAATAGCATCAGCCCCCTTCCAATGACCTAGGCTAGAACTGCAAAATCTTTAGTCTCTGGTAGGTCCTGGCCCTAGTAGAAATTGCTGAATCATTATGGTGGTCATCTAATATGGCTGAAGCCCTTAAAACAAAAGCCCATCTTGCCTAAAACCACCTCACCCCCTTCTTCGCCAACTCATTCTAGGGTACAGTTTCTTTTCACCCTTCCTGACACCTCAGGGAAGACCCCCAGTCAGCTCCTCAGGTATACCTAAACATCCCCTTCAGACTCTGCCCCTGGCAAAAGGCCTTGAAAGCCTCAGCCTCTCTTTGTTCAACTCTAGAGAATCCCTTGTCTTCCCCAGATTCTCTTCCTGTCCTCAAAGGTAATAAAGCCCCTTTCCCTTTTTCCTTCTGCCTGTTTCTCTGCTGTGCCAAGTGTCTGAAAAAAAACCTATCAGTCTGTGGTTTCCTTTCCTCCATGCTGGGGATCCAATCCAGGTATGCTAGCCCAGTGCTCACCTCGGAGCTGCCTCTTGAGCCTCGCAGCCTCATTCCTGCCACCTACCTTGAAGCAGCTCTCAGGCCCCCTTGAGCCAGCCATTGTGTCCCTTTGGTTCATTCCTTTTGCCCATTCTCTGACCACACCTAAGCTGCCCTTAGCTTTTGGCGCCATTGAAATGGGCACAAAAAGTAAGTTCAGAGGCTGAAGAGAAACATGGGCAGCTTCCACTTGTGAGCACCGCATATATTAGAAGGGAAAATTTCAAAACAGGAATATGGAAATTTGGTTTGCCGATGACTTAAGAAAGTAATGCTCTTTGCACATACATAATGCACCTGTCTGTACTATTCAGAAGTAATTACAAGATACATTAAAACATCTTTCATTTACTGGGCTTACTTTCCTTATAGCATACAAGTGTACAGCTGAATAGTGAGATTCTTTTTAAAATATGTTTGCCACATTTATTTTAGGGTAAGCAATATTTTTGTGATTACTAGTATTTGTATTAAAACATGGCCTGTTTCCTAGGACTCTTATATGTTCTCTTGAATAATTACATTGACAACAAAGTAGACTTTGAATTTCAGCGTGTAAATATCTTTTTGGAAAAAGGAAATTTTTGTTGCTTGAAAAAGTTTTAGATATTGGTGACTTTCTTTTTTTTTTGTTGTTGTTGGAACCGGGGATTAAACTCAGGCCTTTGCATTTGCCAAGGAAGCGCTTATTCTACTGAGCCATCTCCCCAGCCCTCTGACTTTCTTTTTTAACAAATTTCTTTTTGTTAGTACATGTTTGTCACACATAATGTTCGTGTTCCTGGCGGGCCATTGGGATGCGCGAACATCTGTCAGCCCTGTCTCAGTCGGGTGGTCCAGAAGGAGCTCACCTGGAGGTCGTTAGTGGACTGCATGAACACAGGGCTGGGCTGAGTGGCTCCTCTGCCCACTTACGCTCCGCTAGCTGCCTTCTCTTCTGTCTGCCTCCTGTTCTTGTCCATCCTACATAGCTTTGCAGGATGAAGTTGCTTGAAGGCCAGCTGTAGTTCGATTTTGCCAGGCAACCATCTGTAGGGCTCTACTAGATGAAGATACATGCCTCCATTAATGTTCTGCCCAGCTTTCACCCCCACAG